CCTTTTCAGGGTTCAAGCCCTCCCCCATCTCTCTTTGATAATCTTTAAAGAAAAAGATCTCCTACCATTTAAGCCAGAGGTCCTCAAACTTTTTAAACAGGGGGCCAGTTCACTGTCCCTCAGACATTCCACACATGCGCCCTGCGGGCCCGGACAGTCGGCTGCTCAGCAGGACAGGCGGCGGCGGCAAAAACACCCGGCGGGCCGGATAAAAGTTTTCGGCGGGCCGTAGTTTGAGGACCCCTGATTTAAGCAAACATTTTAATATAAATTCTAGATCCATCAGAGGCAATGTTAAACCTGGGGAATAGAATAGGTCTTCATTTGATGATTAATAAGTAACTTCTGGACAATAACGCCGTTCGATTAGCTCCATTTTACAGATGGCAAAACGGAGGCTCAGAAAGTGACTCCTGTAGATATAAATAAGTGGCCACCTGGACAATTATTTTCTTTTCCTCTCCATCTCAATCCTTTCTTCTTCCCCCACACGTCAATGCTGACCGTAACAAAGCTACCCTGAGCTCATGATGCCACCAGGTGGCCAAAATGGAACCTGTCTGACCCAAATTGCCTTACTTCTTCCATTTTTTGCCTCTCAGAAGATCATGCATATATATACAGGAATTCTCTTTCTCCAGAGTGTACACACACACACACACACACACACACACACACTTCATCTTTAAACTTCTTTTCAAAAAGTCTTCTTGGGTTTTCTATCATCTCTGCAGGGTTAAATCCAAAGACGAAGTCCTGCATACCCATAGCTTCTGTTATAACTTCTGCCTCTTCGAGCTCATTCTACACTCTTTCTAGGTACCCTAAACTCACCATTTCCTGCACACAACTGGGCCTTTTCATAAAGCAGTATTTTTATAAATATGATCCTTTCTGCTTATAAAACACCTTCATGACTGTTCTCTATAATCCTTTTTACATATTGAACCAACTCCTACTCACCCTTCAAAACTCAACTCAAACATACGTCTTCTTCAATGAAGTCTTCCTTGACTCTGCCAGGCAATTAGCTTCTAGTCTAGGTTCACAGTGGGTGTGTAGAACCACTGCCCCCACCCATATCTATGCTTGAGCACCCATGATATTGTGTACCAGACACTGGACTATATAGTAAGTTACCTTTGTATTCCCACTTCCTAACACAGGGCTAGGAAAATAGTTAGAAAATGCATGTGGAATGAATAAATCAAAGTAAGTACTACAAACAACATCTTACCCAGCATCATTAGGAAAATCTCTATTCTTCTGCTTTCCTTTTATTCCTTTGTGATTTAAAAATGCAACTCAGGGTATGGCATACTTACACTATGAAAATTAAAAACCATAAAAATTATAGAGCCAACATCTTCACCCTCTAATGAGAGTAAATACGCCCACAAGTCCTTTGTAATTTTCAAGCACCACCATTTCAGATAATACTTTCTCCTGTATTTACTTGTAAGTAAAGCGACCATCTTTTTGCCCCTTACTTACTGCAAACATATGCAATATCTCCACAAAACATACACTGTTTTGTGAGTTAATAAGTCGCTGTGGATTCACTTGCAAATCTCCATTTATTACACTATTTCCACTGGAAAATATATTTCAAATCCAAATGATAAAAGTCAGAAATAAACAATGCCACACAACCTATTTTTTTCTTTGGGAAATGGCAGGTAACGCCTGTGGGTTCCATTTTTGCCATTTTGAAGTATTGAATGAAATATCAGCTCCAGAAACAGTCATCTACAAACTGAGACTGGCTAGAAGTCTCAATGTTAACCTGGGCTGGTGGCTGAAGGGTACTTATCTAAGGGCATGAGGCTTCTGGAAACAAACCTCTACGTAAAGAGCTGATCGTGACACTCATAAATCCACAGGAACGGACTCAACCTTTTTTTTTAAGTCTCAGATGGCCATGAATCTGAGGCAAAGACTGAACCAGTGAAGCACTAGATTCTCAATAAATGCTAAATTTAAGAGAATGAGAAGTTAATATCAAAATACATCCCGCAGATTTAAAATCAACTAGGTTCAATGTGAAAAGCTCTATTTAAAGTCAGTCCTGGAGAAAACAGAGCCAAGTTCATACTATTACTACCTATTACTATTTTTTTAATTATCCCGCAATCAAGCCCGATATGAATTTGATCCCCATTCACCACATTTTAAAATCTCTCATTACCAGAAGAAATACGTGTGCTTGTTGAATTGATGATTACAACATAAAGTAATACACGATGACTTTGGTATAGGACACCTCAGCCAGCCAATGAATGAGTCATTATACACAAGCCTAGTTTTCTGAATGGCTAAGAGCTTTACAGAATGAAACAGCTCGGGAGGTCAATTATCTTGAGTGTCAATATTTCCAAAGTTTATGACCTTCTATTTTCTTCCCTTCTCAAAGAGCGCATTTAAAAATGTATCCCTTTGGTAGTTCACTCTCATTAATGGTAAACAGCAATTACTGATTTAAGTTATTATAGAGTAATGCCCGCAGGGTCCTACTCTAACATTCCCAAAACTTTCGGGGCTTTTGCCCTGAAAATTTTTGTCTCTTCCCTGGTTGTCAAGCTGTCAGGGATCACTTTTCACTCCTGGTTACAGCAGCTGCTCACGCTCACCTCGTTCTCAATGTGCTAACCATAATATGCAATGGATTATTATTCAAAAATTTTTAATGTTAGGATTGTTGTCTAAAATAAGAGTAATTATGTTCCTAGACGGGGTCTGAACTATTCTCCCGGACATGATGCCATCTATTCTGGTTGCTGAGTGGGCATTTTTGCCCCTTTCCTCGTTCTTGGCGAGGTTCCAATGTCGGTAAGAGAGCAGCACTCCACACTCCGGTATGTATAACACATCTTGATGCTCTTTGTGGTCCCCACGCTGCAGAAGTAGAGCAAACCATCACACGACCTCACTAATGATTTATGCGCTGGCCACACAACATACCAAGTACAAAGGTTTCCAAGGAAGCAAACTGTCCAGGTTGAAAGGTTAATCCGGAAACTGGAAAATGGTCCCTATCTTACATAACAGGTCTAGAGGCTGTAGGTCTATAGCACTTAGCAGCATGAACAGGTAGGTGTCTTACACAAATAAGTATGGGGGAAATTTTTTGAGGGGAAAAAAACCACTAAATGACATACTGATTCACAGAAGGTCAACATTTTCTTGGCTTATTAAATTACAAGATTGTTAAGTAAGCAACTTCTTTTAATACCATATGTTTTAAATACCTCCCTTTCTAAACCGCTGCTCTATTGGGAAAAGTCTTCTTTACTCAGAAGGAAAAAATGTTGCTCTAATATTTGAGTAACCGAAAGATTAATTACCATTTTTGAACAGTCCCTACAAGCACTGGAGTCAAGCGTTCAACAGAAATGATTGTACATCAATCCTGTGCATTCCACCAGACGCTAAAGTTTATATAACCTTGTTTGTCAAACCGAGAAAGCAAACTCAAGCAGGTGAACCAGGCTACCCTGTCACATTAAGGACGGGAATAAAGACAGTGGACATCACTTAATCTAGTTATGCTCCCACACCCTTATGAAGGAGGCTGGCCTTTTAGCTATTTATAAATGTGGGGCTGGGCAAAGGGACCCTGCCACCACGACCCTGTGCCTAACATGGCGGGCTGTTGGGCTCCAGCGAATCCCAGAAGGCCTGTGGGATCCCTCTCAGTTTGCCCCCCATCCTTGGCAACAGGAGATCCTCGGGGTGCAGTCCTGTCTGCTCAGGAAAGGGACTGTGAGGATTTCCAGTGGTCACTTCCAGCCTGTGATTCTATATATGGAAACATCCCATCCTGGTGTTTGCAGCATCATGAGCACCACACCAGGGAGGAGAAGTAAGGTGGAGGCCAGCTCCCCTCTTACTGCCCCAACACACTCATTTTCGTGTCTCCCAGGCCCTGCTGTCCTGGACTGGACCTTGTCATCAAATGGCAGCCCAGACCTCTGCTGAGGCGGGCAGGCTAGCGGCCCTAACATGGAACAGCTGGAAGAGGACCCTGCATTCTTTTCTCTGCATAAACACTGGGGGCTCTGTTCACCCTCCTGCTGCAGCATGAACTAAAGAATTTCCCCTATCCAAAATTATAAGCAACAGACCTTTTCCCCATCCCCCATCCTCACCACCACCGCCTCCCCCCCCCCCCCACACACACACCCCAGGATATCATTTCATTCTGTCACCACCCATGCTAGCAAACAGCAAATCGCTGGACCCTTCGTGTACATTCACTTTCTATACTAGTTGAGGTGCCTGTAAAATACTAGCAGGGTAATACGAAGCAATTCTGTTCTATTCAGTAAAGTTTCCTAAGAAAAAGCAGCAAGAACTCTGATTCATGCCTGCTGTCAGGCATCTACAAGATGCATATCCATATGGATAGCGTCAGCATAGAGGAGCAGACCCAAATAGCATATAAACTGCAAGTATTATTTTAATAGTCTGTAGCATCACCTACATATTATTCAGAAGACGGAGCTCTAAAACTGTACTCCCCGTGGGGGGGGGGGGGAATTAATAACAGCATTAGATTTTCATGGATTGCTCAGACAGCCTAATCAAAGCTTGACTTCCAAAGGGCAGGGGTCCCGGGCTGCCTCGTGTGTTGCTGAAACCCAGAGAGCCACGTTGCCCAAACCAAGAAGAAAAAAAGCCCAGAAAATCCAGACTCTACGTGACCTGACTTACTTATTTCCCAGGAAACTGCATGAGGGAAAAATCAATCATTCATGCTACCGTGGCTACCACACGGAATGGACTGAAGGAGTTGACCGTGGCCACCAACCCTAAGCGGCCAGCGGAGGTGAGTGGGCGGCAGGGGCGGGGACGCGGAAGAGGTGGAGAGGCCAAGGGCCCGGGGGACAGCGCGGACCGTGTCCCCGCGGAACCGCGGCCGGGGGCGGGGCCTGGGCCCGAGGCTGGGAAGGGGGCGGAGGGGGGGGGGACCGGCGGGACGCGGGCGGCCCCGCACTTACCCGGGCTGTTGGCCTCGCCCTCCAGGACGTGCAGCTCCGCGCAGTCGGCCAGCGAGTGCTCCAGGCAGAGCTGGAGGAAGCGGGCCTGGGTCTGGCTCACGCGCTTGAGCAGCGACAGCAGCGCAACAGTCTGCTCGCACTCGTTCCAGCCCTTAAACCAACCCGCCAGCACCCCGACCTGGTCGCGAAACATCATGGTTAGGGGGCGGCCCTCTGTCTACGAAGCCCCTCGGAGCCCCAGCCCGGCCCTCCCGCCCCAAAGTTTGGCGGAGCCGCAGCCCCGCGGCCGCCGGAGGCGCGTTCCGGTTCCAAGGTGGCTCTGGCGCTCGGACGCTGCAGGTACTGCCTCGGCGGCTGCCTTTCTCGTCTGGTTTCAGTTACGTTCCGGTGGTTCTGGCTGATTTCCCCAGAGATGATGACAGACAGTAGCACGGAAATGTTTCTTTTTTTAAAAAAAAATATAACGATTTAAAAAAAAATCCCCACAAGGCACACAAACTGAATGAAGAATGCTCTCTTCCCTCCCCCTTCTCACGGCTTCAGGATGGTGATTTCCGGCGTCCCGGGGTCTCTTTCCCGCTGGGCGGCAGCTCGGACCCTTTACACCCGCATTCCCGAGCGGCGATCACCACTGGAAGGAGAGAAAGGGCTGCAGTGAGACCTCGGCCGGCGAGGGAGCACGCCTGGGAAACGAGTGCATCAGGGGGTGGGGACGGGGGGCGCCCCGCGAGGGGTTCGGTCCCCCCAAATCCGGCCGCCCCCTCCGCACCCGGATGCGGGAGACGAGCTATTCCCGCTCTGGGAAGGGCAAGAAGCCTCCTTCCCAGGTGCGGGAGGAGACCCCACGGCTTCCTGTTGCTGCCGCTGCGAACGGCTGGTGCTCCCCACACACCCCACCCGGGGTGGCCTCGGGGCTGGTGCGAACGCCAGCACCAGCAACAGATTTTCCTCGCGCAGAAAACTTGCAATGCGGCTGCGAGGGGCGCGGGGGTGGGGGCTAATGCAAAGCAGAGGCGGAGGCAGCCGCAGCCCGAGTTCCTTCCTCCTCCTCCTCCTCCTCCTCCTCCTCCTCCTCCTCCTCCTCCTCCTCCTCCTCCTCCTCCTCCTCCCAGAGAAGCAGCCGAGCGGCTGCAGCTCCATCTACAGCAACAGCCAGCATCTCCACCGCCAGGCGCCCCTCTGGATTTAGGCCGTGAGCAGCCAAGGCAGCAGCTCGAGACAAAAATAAACTCTCCCCACCCAAAGCTCCTCGCCCAGCGGGCGGAGGCGCAGCCGGAGCCCGGCTCCCCCGCGCCTCGCCGCTCCAGCCCACAGGGAGGTCTCCGGGGCCTGCGGTGCCCAGAGCGATCAGATGTGTGCGTGCCTGTGTGCGTGTGTAAATGTGTGCACGCGCGTGTGTGCTTTAGGCATCCTGCTCCGCCGCCTCCTACGGGCGGGTCTGTCCGGCCCAGCGCCTGGTCCGCGCGTCCCGGGCGGCACGGCCCCGAGCGCACGCCGAGCGTGGAGACCGCGCGGGTCCACAGCACTTCTTACCCGGCGGGCAGGGCGGCTCCGAGGCCTCGGCACACGCCGCCCCCCCTCCCCAGGACCTCAAACAAAGTTCGGCTTCTGGGGCTCCCCCGGCCTCTCACTGTCGGGGTGGCCGCCGCGGGCAAAGAGGGGAGCCCAGCGGCTCAGCCCTCGAAGAGGCGGCTCTCTCCCAGCATCCCGCTTCCCGGGCCCCAGAACTTATCTAGCGGAGAGGGACGTCCCCCGGGAAGGGGACCCAGTGGCCCGCGGGTCCCCTGCGGGGGGCGGAAGGAAAGGGGCGCTCACCTCGGCGCGGCTCATCCCGGCGGCTCGGGGCCCCGCGCGCGGGTCCGGGCCCGCGGCGGCTGTCAGCGAGGTTGGGGGCGCCCGGAGCCCGGGCTGCGGGCCATGCCGTCGGGGCGGGCGGCGCTGGGAGAGTGCGGCGCTGCGAGTCCGGGCCGCTGCCGCCACCGCTGCCTCCAGTGTCGGCTCGCGGAGGACTGAGCCGCCCAAGCCGGAGCTCCCCACATGCTACTGATTAACATACACCATTACATCATGGGCTTGGCAGGGAGCGCCCGCGGGGGGAGAGGAACCCGGGCGGCGGCGGCGGCAGGCAGGGGGAGTCGGGGGAGGATCCCGGACCCGGCCCGCCGCGGGAGGGGGGGACAGCCGGGGGGGAGCGGATTCCTAAGTGGGGACCAGGAAAGGGGAGGGGAGCGCAGTGGGAGGAGCCAGATGGCGCGCAGGGGTCGAGTTGGGAGAACCGCCGCGCGGACGGAAGAAGTTTGGGGAAGGGGAGGGGGACGAATAAATTCCTCACCGCGGCCGCCTGCGGGTTCTGGGTTCGGGGGGGTTGGGGCGCTGGAGTCGCCTGAGCGCGGGTAGGGGCGGTCCTGTCACTGGCTGCTCGTCCTGGGGAATGTGGTTCGCCTACCCTAGTGACCCCTCGGCCTGCCTGGGGCCCGGGGTGGCAGAGCGGCTGGGTCCGCCGGCGGTGGAGACCTGAGGCCACTGCGGCTGGGGGCGTGGACGGGTTCGGGGGTCGCAGACGCGAAGGGCGGAGGAGGCCGAGGGGCGGTACGCAGAGCTGGACGTGCCCGGGCGCCAGGCTCGGTGGGTCCCTTGTTGGAGGAGCCCAAAGAACGCCTGGTCCGATCATCCCTCGCCGGGTCGGGCTTTGGAGGACCTCTGCTCCTGTCGGCAGCCCCGCGCCCGGCCCCGCGCCCCTCTCGGGCCTCCCTCTTCCCTGGGGAAGCGGCCAGCCTGGGAGCTATGCCTGGGGCGCGGGCTGCGGCTGCGGGCCTGGAGCGGAGGCCAGCGTCGCCCTGAGCGGCTGGGAGGAGGGCGACGCCACCTGTCAGCGCGTCGGAGTCGCCGGGCTGGGCAGCCTCACCTGGACCTGGCGATTGTGCGAGGCCGAGGCCCGGCAGGGGCTCCCGAGGTCCTGGTGGCGCTGAAGAGGGGAGGAGCAGCACGAGGTGGCTCCTCTCGAAAGCAGAGAATTGTTTAAAAATACCGTAAAACCTACCTTCTGATATTAGTTGAATATTCTCAGATGGAGTGGATGAGAAAATTCGGACTAGCTCCTTATTTCCAGTGAAAACACTGAGCTCTTGAACATAGCAACGTTGTTTATGGAAAAGTACTTCTGAGAAACCAGCGCAACGCATGCTTCCAACGCAGCCTTCCCCATTCTTTCTAACACAGTATTTTTTTTTTGAAGATAAAGTGCCTGAGATATGATTCCACTAACGAACACCTCCGTCTTTCAACTCCAACATATGTCCGTGGACTTTAAATCCTTTCTTCCTCAAACCTAGTTTTGGCATTTAATTCATGTCAGACGTGTGACAGCACCTAACCATCTGTTGGGGTACTGAGAGGTCTTGAACAGTTGCAAAAATGTAGGTGTTACCATTAAAATAGGGTGTGCGGATAATTTTTGAAGTTCATTAGTGACCACCTAGGAAAGACATCTTCATAGTTTAATGAATAGTTTGCCCTACAAACAAGAATTCTAGAGTCTATGTATTATTTTACCATTATAGAGGCAGAAAAACATGACATGTTTTCTCCAAGACATTACTATCAATTAGCCAGTCTTTAGAAGTAACTTCTATCAGGAAATGGGGAGGAGGGTTACAGCACGGTCTCCCTCCGCATACACCTTGCTACTGAATGTAGCCAAAGCATAAATTTCCCCACCTGGGGCGTTTGCAAACCTCCAAGAGCGATTTCTTTTAAAGAAAGTGAAAGAAATGTAAGTTTTATTAACTTGTTTATTGTCACCTGCAGTTTACTGAACAAATAGTAAAACAAAAACAAATGCAACAAACCTTGAGGCAAATCTTCAAGCATTCTACGTATGCTGAAGAAAGAAAATACTGCCACCTACTGGGAAAATGTAGTCTTTACAGAGGCCTTTGACCTAGGAAAAGATCTTGGTTTAGCTCAATGTTTAGCTATTTTTAAAAAATATTTTTTTATTGATTTCAGAGAGGAAGGGAGAGGGAGAGAGAGAGAGAGAGGGAAACATCAATGATGAGAGAGAATCATTGATTGGCTGCCTCCTGCGTGCCCTCCACTGGGGATGGAGCCCAAAATCCAGGCATGTGCCCTGACCAAGAATGGAACTGTGACCTCCTGGCTCATATGTTGATGCCCAACCACTGAGCAACACCGGCCAAGCTTTCAATTATTTTTGAGAAATACAATTATGAGGCTGACATGAGTTGCCAGTCCTCTTTGTTTGTGTGTTCATAATACTGGTGATGTCTCTTGCCTCTTGGTTTTGTCCCTGATGGGAGAGGGAGTGCAGATAAAATCCAGTGACACTGCTCCGTTTCTCATAGAAAGTGAAGTCAGGACTCTGAAGGAATACAAAATATATGTGTTTGTATCAAATGTGAGTTTTTCCTATGTGAACTTGTACCCCATTTTTATGGATAATGAAGAAGTAGCTAACAAGTGCTAAATATCCACACCACTTGGAAAAGGAATGAGAAGAAGGGATAAAGAAGATTATTAATAAGTCTATGTTCACTATATTCCTAATTGCTCATTTTAACCCCTAGAGTGCCGGGGAGCGCGATCGCGCTCCTCGGATCTTTCGCCAAAAGTGCCGGGAGCGCTATCAAAGCTTCGAAATGGCGTCCAGTTCTAAGTCTGCTTTTATTAGTGATGATGATATTGCTAAATATGTCAATGTATAAAGGTTCCCTTAAGTTTTTGAATATGTAACTTCATTTACTTGCTATTCATAATTTTTTTCCTAAACTGCTGTAAAATCAGCAAAAATGCCTTGGCAATTTTAGCATAGTTCCTAGGATATTGGTTGGCACTCAAAGGGTTAAAAATGCCTATTGTTCACCTATGTTGTGCCTGGCACTGGGTTAGACAGTGAGTACACTGAGTACAGTACTGAGTCCACAATGGTCTACCAACCAATAGATCAGATTATCAAACAAATTAACATTCAAAACATTTTTGTGCTTTTCTCCTTTCTAGAATCTGGGAAGGAGAGAAATTGGTGTTTGCTCAGTGAATAACACTTTTGGTCAAATAACTCAAATGTTCAAATGTTTCAAAGATGACTCATTTCAGATAAAAATGTTTTGTTTATAACCACTGCTTAAGAAGATGTCTAAGTGTTGCTTGTATCAAAAAGGCACCGCAAGGAGCCCTTGTCTATATATTTTACCATGTTGAAGATAAGTGGTTTTATTTAACATAAAAGCCTATACACTATATATATATACTTTTGATATAATATCTAAATATAATATATTTAACTTATAAAAAAATTTTAATGTTACATTTAATATTTATTTTCCTTAAATTTAATATATAAAATAAAATTATAAATAAAATTTCATAGAAGCATATATTAAAATATATTTTTTATTATATGTTTATGCACAGGCAAAGGTATGAAAATACATACCAAAATGGTAACTTCTGGTGCTTTTCCTGTATGGTAGAATTATTGAGGATTATTATCTTTTTTCTTTATATTTTCTAACTTTTCTACCAAAAATTAAAAAGTTAAAACAAAACAAAACACTGCATGTGCTCAGGACCACTGATTAAAATTAAATTTAGAAAGTATCATAAAGAAACTGCACTATAAAACTTAGGTCTGTGACTACCAAGAATTGCTTATGAGTCTGTTTTGCTCCCTACCTGGGTCTTGTCCTCACCTCCTACTGTGTCTCTCTGCCTCAGCTCTAGCCTAACCACTCCCCAGCTCAGACCTTTCTGTGGTTTCTGACTCAACATTAAATACACTCCCAGCACTTTGACCTGAAATACATACAGTCCATCATTTGGCCACGACCTGCTGCTCTCGACTTCTCTGTCACACATTTTATTTACTAACTCATGCAATAAGAAGTATTTATTCAGTATAAATCACTGTGCTAGGCAAATAGGAGATACAAAGGTAGAAGAGGAGGCATGGTCTCTGCAACCTCTATTGGAGAGTGCAAAGTATGCTTGTCACACACACACTTCACTAAAAGGTACAATAAGCAATGGGTCGAGGGGGAGGCCACACACAAAGTCAAGAAAAATCAGAGGAAACAAAAATTCTGCCAGAAAATTCAGAAAGATAGAATACATTTTGAATTGGCACTCATTAGATGAAAAGTTTCAACAGGTGCACAAAATTTAAACACAGATAGCATCCAGGAGGCCAGGATGTATAGAAGTATACGTGTTTGTCTCAATAAAGCATCCTAAGAACTCCATGTTTATATTTTTCAGTTCATATTTCTTCTAGCAGTAGGAAGATAAAACAGGAGAAGAAATACAGGCCTTTGTGCTGAGCCAGCTCAGCCAAGGGTTCGAACGCCTGAGTGAGGCCGGCGAATGGATGAAGAAATGACAGACAAAGAGAATAAGCTGGGTCTAGGTCAGCCGTGGGCAAACTACGGCCCACGGGCCGGATCCGGCCTGTTTGAAATGAATAAAACTAAAAAAGAAAAAAAGACCGTTCCCTTTTATGTAATGATGTTTACTTTGAATTTATATTAGTTCACACAAACACTCCATCCATGCTTTTGTTCCGGCCCTCCGGTCCAGTTTAAGAACCCATTGTAGCCCTTGAGTCAAAAAGTTTGTCCACCCCTGGTCTAGGTGGATCTTACTGTGCCTGGCTGAGGCCACAGAGAGAGATCCAGAGGCAAGCTTAGCCTTTATTTTATAGCCAGAGGTAAATAAGGTAGTGGTAACCGTAGTTACAATGTTCTTGTGAGTTTCACTTGTTTTGGCAGCACTTGCTGCATCTCCCTCAGCCCATTAGCTACCCAGATAAGATCTAGGGAGCATCATAAGGTCAAGCCTAATTATGCTAAGAGGGCTGTGCCCTCTAAGCTGGGACTTGTCTGAGGCTTAACTCCATAGCCGCACCCTACAGGCCTTCCCAGATTTCTCTAGTGGCGATACACTAGTGGAAAGAGATCCAACAGTATCCACTAAATTAGGCATATCTTTTAAGGTAATTTCATATTTAGGAATCTATCCTACTGAAGTAGAAGCATCATTACTATAAAATAAAGTTTACTAAGGTATAAGAATAAATATGAGAATG